TCGTTACATCTTAAGGGTTAGGAGTTGCTGCAGGTCTGAGGGAGCTGTGTGGAGGGGGTACAATGGTCATCACTTAGACTGGCTGCACTTGAGAGCACTGCAGTCCTGGCTTCACAAAATAAACACAGGAGCGCCACAGAGGTGAGAGATCCTGTGTTTGACTAACACCGTGCTGACCTCTCTGACGTTATTGTAAATCATATTTTTATCTTAAAAGGATACTGTAAAATATGTTAGGCTCAAATTTTAATTTGCCTTCAAGATATTTTGGAACTTAAAGCAAATCAAGTCCTGACTTAATTGATTTTTTTTTCCCGAAAGGAAATCGGAACAATTCCAAGCTCTGTAAAGAGCCAATGAAAAACAATCTACCCCCTCTTCTGCCCTCGAAAGAGGAGTGCAAAGCTGCCTTAGGTCGGGACTCCATAAGAAAGTGGAAATGTTTGTCAGATGGGCTCCCTCTATGAATACGCCTCGGTCACAGAACAGAAGCTGTTCGCTCTATTCTCGAGTAGGCAGTAAGGATGTTGTTCCTTGGATGTTGTTCCTTGTTGTGTCCCACATGGACACAAGCTGACACTTTTTTCAGGGCTTTTGCAGAAGAGCTGGGAAACTCTGCTCACATCATTTGCTCTCTCTGTCACTGGAGATGCCTTGTTATTTTTGTCACCTTTACCTGGTAAACAGTTGACATACAGGAACCTTTCAAAAAGCCCTAGTGTTTGAGCATTGACCTTACTAGCCATGTTCCAGAAAAAAGGTCTCGAGAGCTTTGCGGTGTGAAGGCTCTTAAGGGGTCTGACTACTTCCTTTGGGGTCTTCTTAGACCTGAGCGTTCCCTGGAGCAGGGGCCACCGTGGGGACATCCCTTGTTTTTCCCTGCTCCTGTTTCCAGAGATGTCATCGCACGGCACCACCAGCCCCGGCACCGCCGTAACAACCGCCCCGGCAGCGCCGAAGGCAGCGGCTGCTGGCGGGGATGGCGCTGGCAAAACCCCCGCGGCCACCGGGCAGCAAAACCCCCGCGACCCTCCTGTGGGGAAGGGGCTGCCGCTGGCCTGGGCATCTGCCCTGGCGCCGCTTCTTCCCGAGGATAATTCGGAGATGCCCTGCGCTTCCAAGGGCAATGTGTGTCATACCTGGAGCACTGGAAAGGCCTTGGCATTGTAGCTGCTGCTGCTACAGCTATCCCGTGTGGCTTTGTGTGAGTATGGGTATTTCATGTGGTAAGGAGTGTGCTTTCTGCTGTGCTGGAAGAAGCAGCTTTGCCCAGAGAGCTGCTGCTTGTAACCCGTATTCAGCCAAGCGCCTAAGGTGCTGGATGCCCAGGTGTGTTGGTGGGTCGATGTGGAGTGTTGGATGGGGGCAGATTGTCCGGAAGGAGCTTCCTCATCTCCACCAGAAGTTGGAAGCGCAGCCCACGAGTGTCACGGGCACTTTGCACTGCGTGTGGCTGCGTCCTTGTCCTTGGGCTGCACAACGTGACATCATAGAATTACAGAATGCTTAAGGTTGGAAGGGACCTCAGAGGTCATCGAGTCCAACCCCCCTGCTCACGCAGGGTCACCCAGAGCACGTGGCACAGGGCTGCGTCCAAGCAGTTTTAAAGATCTCCAAAGAAGGAGACTCCACAACCTCCCTGGGCAGCCTGTTCCAGGGCTCTGTCACCCTCACTGTCAAAGAGGAACACGCTGTGTGCAGCTCTTGCTCTCGCAGCGGCTGGTCGTTGGTACCAGCAGAGGCAGCATCCTGCCCATCCCGCCCTGCCTGTCCTGGCTGGGACAGGCTCCCCCTTCCTCCTCGGCAGCTCCTGCTGCGCTACAGTAGGAGCCGACCCGAAATGAAGTGAAATGACCGAGCGCCCTCTTCCTCCTGCAGTTAAGAGTTCAGAAATGTTCCTCCCTCCGCACACTGAGCCGGGCTGCTCCCTGGTCTTTCCATGTGTGAGCCTTGTGGAAAGAGGAGAGGAGAGGGGAAGCGATATTTGACTTAACTTTTAACAAGTTCCCTCCTATATCTTTAATGACCTGCATGCAAAATTTATGGCATGGAGTGCCCCAGCATCGGAGGCAGCCTTCAGCACACAGGCTGCCTTTTGCAGGACAGGCAGGGAAGTGAGGTCCGCCGGGATTCGGGAAGCCTGAATGATGCAGTTGTGGTTGGCACTTTGAATATAGGTGTAGCCGACTTCAAAATAAATATTTGCACGTTAGCTGGAGCGTGCATGTGGGAGGGAAAGAATAGCAGGTATTAATGTTTCTCAAAATGAATGACTATGAAAGTTGTATGCTGGCATAATGGTATTATTGCAAAGAATAAGCAGAGCTCAGTGCAGCGCGTGTGGGGCAGGAGTGTCCCCTGGCCCTGCACAGCACCTGAGGGAAGCCGGGATGGGGAGGGGAGAGACCCTCTGCTTGGGGAGCACGAGGGAGAGCAGCTCTGGGGGGCAGGAGCCCCATGGGACTAGCTCGGAGCCTCAAGGTGGCTGCCACTCAGGTCCCAGGGGTGCTTTAACGGTGTCTGATCAACCTCCCCGGAGACGCTGGGACACGTGGGCTCCCTGGCACTGCAGTCCTCTGTGCTCCTTTCAGAGGTTCTTGCGGAGCAGAGCAGCTCTTGGGAGCCTTGCCTTTTCGGACTCTGCTTTTGGCATGTGCGTCGTTTTCCAGTCCCGAAACTCCTCCATCTGTTGGTGCTCCATGCGAACTGGAAGGGCAAATTCAGAGCATCCCCTATGGGGAACTGCACAGCACCCACATCTCGTTCCCATCAGCCGCCGGCTCCGCCGTGTCCCTCGGAGCACGTCCCAGGCGGGGGGGCTGGGGCGGCAGCGCGGGGACGTGATGTGACCTGGCAGAGGCTGCGCGGGGCCCCGGCCCTCGGCTCGTGAGCGCAGAGCAGCCCCGTGCGGCGGCCGGAACCCCCTGGGAACCCGGCCTCGTGCTGGGCTCGCGCAGTACGAGACTTTCCCATCTTATCAATGCTTCTTTTCTGTAGGTGACTACTGAGAAAATAAATCATTCAAGAGTTTTCTTTCACACTCTTTTAGGGGGAAAAAAAAGTATTTCTGTCTCTAGATTATTCCAGTTATTTGCCTGAGTATGATAGAGCTGACCCTTATATTCTGCGCTGATGGACAGAATCATTTTTTTAAACCACCTACTGTGGTTTCATTTCCTCAGGCTCCTCACATTCTTCCTTTCAAAAAATGACTCCTTCCTCTGGAGTTTTGTCTTTGTGCTGGGGAAAATTATTCTTTCTGGGAGCTCTTGCTTTTGCTGTTTCTGTGGAATTACATGGCTCTGCCTTCTTCTCGGTTTTCTGGGACAGCTCTTCGAGGTATGGCAAGTACTAACAAAACACTTCTTTTTAAAGAAAAATGAGAAATCATTTAAAAAAAGAGAGAAAAAAGAAAAGCACTTCTTGCTTTGTCTACTTGCTCTGTTTTTTTTCTTTTCATTGAGAGAAGCAATCAAACAGTCGTGAGCGAAACCGCACAGCTTTTATTCCCCTGCGCCGCTCAAGCTACATGTGCGCTGGTCTGCTCGGAGCGGGATCACACGGTGGCCGGATTTGGCTCACTTGGTTCCCTGCGCGGCAGGACCCATTGGCCAGGGATGCTCCTGTGTCCGAGGGCAGGATGAGAGGCTGTGGAAGCGTGTGCTGAGCTTGGTGCCAACTGGGAGGGAGCGGGGCCTCTGGCTAACCTGCCGCAAGCCAATGGCCACCTGGAAGGTAACCTGTGTGCTTGAGGTAGCCACACTGAGCTGCTGCCTTACTGTGGAGTCCAAAGGGCTGGAGGAGATGATTGACTGCTCTTCCTCCTCTCCTCCTTCCCGGCATGAAATATCAAGATGGGAGTCTTTTTGTCATACAATACTCTAAAGCGCTGGGTAGATTTTCTTATCTGTTGGTAGAGGGAGTATTTACAACATATGGTGGAAGTGAAATTGTAAGACTGATAAGAAAGCCTGTTTGCTGAATTAAAGCGTGGGTTGCGTGTTGGTGCTGCAGTACGAAGGGCGCTCGTGCTGCTCCCCGTGCCTGGGGCCGCTCTGCCCGCCGGCCGGCTGTCCCCTCCCAGATCCGCTCCCGCAGGGACCTCTGCGTGAAAACCACCCTCTGGCCTCAGTGGGGGCCACTGTGTTCCTCTGCCCTCCCTGCCTTGGGCAGGGTGCAGGCAGTCATCTTTGTTCAATCCAGCACCAAATAGTTCCCAAGGTGAAAAATAAGGTGCGTTTTTCCCCTGGGATGCATTTCTCTGCAACAGAACAAGGACCCTGTTGTGCGACGAGCCAAGTCAGTGCAGGGAGGAAAGGCTACATCTCTGTTAAGTCTCCTCAAGACGACAGGGCCGTGTTTTGTGCTCTGCTGTGCCCTGCTCCCAGCTGTCCTGGTCCTCCAAGGCCCCGTGCGCAGGGGCCGGCCGTGCGCTGGGCCCTCCGGGGCGCCCCATGCAGCCCCATTGCCCCCCGGCCCCCCGCGCTGCTGCTCTCGGAGCCGCCCTGGCCCGCGCTCCTCCAGTGCCCCACAACACCGGGAACGTCTTTCCCTTGCTGCCCTCAGAGGGACAGGTCCTGTCCTGCTCTCACCCACGTTATCTTCGCTGCTTTCTGAAGAGTTTTGCCCTGGCTCCCCCTCCTTTCCCCTGCTGGGGGCGGGGAGAGATTCCTGCGAGTAACGGGGTCTGCCCCCTGCGCTGTGGCGTTCTCCACGCTCGGGTCTTTGGGCAGTAAAACCCTTTCTGTGTGGGGAAAGGTGCAGCTGGGGCCAACTCACGGCTGTGCCGAGGGCACCGTGGGCAGCTGACGGCGGCGGGGCCAGTGTCTCCCGCGCGGGCAGCCCCACGCGCGGCGCTGGCGTCCCCGTCCGCGCGGCGCCGCGGCCGCCCTCCCACCGCAGCACCTGCTGCGCCCGCGTCACCGGCGCTGCTATAAAGCGCCGCAGCCCGGCCGCCCTTCCCGTGCATCCACAGCCTGGCCACCCTTCCCGCACATCTGCAGTGCACCGGCTGCGCATCCCCAGCATGTTCTACTCGGGGGTCCTGACGGAGCCGAGCAGGAAAGAAGTGGAGCTGCGGGAAGCGGCGGCCCTGCGGCAGCAGCGACGCGTGAAGCAGGCGGTGCAGTTCCTGCACCAGGACTCCGCGGACCTGCTCCCGCTGGATGGGCTGAAGAAGCTGGGCTCCTCCAAAGATACCGTAAGGTTCATTCTGTTTGCCGAGGGGAGAGCAGGGCGCTGAAGGAGCTGGTGCGTCAGCGTCTGCTTTGGTTTTGCTCTATTCCTTTCCCCCCACGCCTTGTTCTTAGTGTCGTTTTACTGTTGAGACTGTAAGTTTGTTGCTTGTGGAAACTGGCAGAAGAAGGAGGCTTTTGCATTTAAAGAAAAGCAGGGGAAATGTCATGTTGGGTATCACCGGTGCTGCTTTCTGCTAGTTGCTTTCAGCTCTAAATGATTTTTGTTTTGATTTGTTTTTGTTTGTATTGCACAAATGTCAGAAAATAGGCTGCTGTTTCCAGCACACAAATACTCCCTGAATCACAGTAAATCAAAATGGCTTCATGGAATATACATACATGTGTCTCCCTGTGGTGCATGTGTATAATACACATATATATGTGTGCAGCACATTCATAAAAGATTTGGTGTAATGCAGTCACTAATAATTCAAAATATGAATTTACTGAAATTTCAATTTGATAAAGACATGCTTTTTTTTTTTTTTTAAACAGAGATACTTGCTCTGGCTTTTAAATATACGCACATGCGATGATCCATATGATCCTATAGCTGACATGTAACATCCACCATGATGTCCAGGGGCTAGGAGCTCGCCTAAATATTAACATGCACAAATGCCTGAGCTTTCTCTCATGGCAAATGCCCAAGTGTAACATCAAAAGTTCTGGTGGGAAAGAACCAAACCTAGGAAATATTTTCTAGGAAACATGCCCCTATGAGGGAAGCCTCCTATCCCCCCTGCACCACTTCTTTCTCTCTCGTCCACGATTGCAGTTATCTCTATAAAATAGGATCATGCTGTGCACAGCACACTCCAGGAGACTCCCAGTTTCTTGTGAGAGCGCCAGGGACGGCAAGGGGAAGGAAAAGCTGCTCTCGCAGGTCCTTGAATAATTCATTTTGCTGCCTCGTGCTGAGTTGTCTGTCCTCTGCCCTTTCGCACACATCGATCAATACTTCCTGATTTACAGCCCATTTGCTTTGGGTTTGAGAGGCCCTGGCTGCTTCTGACGTAGGAGCCTCTTCTCCCTTTCCATCTGTGTGGCAAAGCTGGCGGCTTCCTCCTGGCCTAGGGGGGAGCAGGGGGCAGTCTCCTTGTGGGAACCCAGGAATCCGGGATGGCCTGGGCGTCGGTGCCATGACGACCGGGGTGGCCTGAGCAGCTTGCAGGCACCGGGACCAAGTGGATCCACACACCCCACGGAGCTGGGGACGGACACGCTCCCCTTGCACGGCGGAGAGAAGCCTCCCCGCAGGTGGAGGCTGGGAAAGAAGAGGTGGATTTGGTTGAGGGACAGGAAGGAGAGAGAGAAATGGGTGATCTCCTGGGATCGGCCCTTCTTGTCTTTGAAAACTGCTCTGTTCTGCTCAGGTGCAAAGGAGAGGCCAGACCCTGTGCGAGGCTCTCGGAGGGGAGGAACCGTCACCCGTGGGAATCCACTCGGAGGGTCGTTTTGTCGGGAAGTCCAGCAAAGCAGTGGGAATCCTGACCCCGGAGGCGCGTGCTGCGAGTCGGTGTTTGTGTGTGAGCTGGCTAGAACAAACTGGGGTGACGTGTTCGTGCTTCTGGTGAGCACAGAAGGGAACTCACTTTAGGCTTCCCATGAGACTTTTTATTTTGGGATTTTTTTTGTTTGTTTGTTTCGTTTTTTTTTTTTTTTTTTTTTGCAAAATTCTCAGGGATGGAGAGGAGATTATTTTAGGAAAACCTTTATGATTGATGTTTATATCGTGCCAGACAGTGCCAGGAATAACTTTTTTTTTAGCACATACAGGGCATGTAGCATTTTGTTCTCTCATAAAGCTCTTGAGTGAGGGTGCTTGATCACCGGGGTTGCATTAAGCACTGGAACCAGCATGACCAGCATTAGGTACCTGCCAACCTAAACCAAAAGGGCCCACTACGGACATCCAGATCTCTATCCATGGAGAGGTTTTCCTGCTTTTCCTTCCATAAACGGTCTGCTTGCAGTTTTTCAGCAAAATGTGCATTTGCAGATGTCCCTTGGCATGCTATCTGTTTACTGAAGCACGAATCCATCATTTGAGTCATCTCTGTGACTAACATCCCTCTCTCTGTTACACACAGAAGTCAAGGGAAATACAAGTTAAAGCAAACTAATTAACAGCCTTGGACAGAATGGTGCTGCAGGGAATCATTTCAGCTCCGTTTTGCTACATTATTTGTGTAGCGGAGCTCAACGTGAGCAACATTTGTCCCCCTGAAGGCAGGAATCGCATGGGCTTTCACAGGAACAAGCATCAACAAAAGATGGTCCCGTTTCTGGGGGCAGCTCCCGTTTGCTGAATGCTGGATTTTTGTTCTTCCGCTGATGGGATTCATAAAACCAGACCCTCACCTCAGCTCAGGCTGCGAGCATCTCTTTTTTTCCCTTGAGAAAGCCCATAAATGGAGCTGGTTAATATCCTGTGGAACTTATGCTTTTTTTTGTTGTTGTTTTTGTTTTTTAAAGGTTGAAATCAGTGATAAAGCACAGTCAAAGCAGCACTGATGAGTGTGCGGCGACTTGTTCTTCTCTCACGTGTTCTTGCAAGGAATCTTGGCGATGCGTTTGGGGCCGGGCAGCTCGACAGAGCAGCCAGGCTGCCCGGATTTCCACCCATTGGGAATATCTGTTGGTCCCAAATGCAGCTGCCTGGAGTCGGATGGAGACGGTGGATGAGCAAGTCAGCCGGGAACTTCATCCACCTACCTCTCCAATTCCTATTATTTATTTGTTTGTTTTTAACGTGAGGGATACATCTTCTGCAGGAAGCACTAAGGGTAACGACACGCTGCCCGCTGCCAGCCAGCCCCGTCCTGCTTTTTGGCTCACGTGTGTAGCCTTTCTTGAGATAACAGTTCTGGTTTTGCACCTCTTGCTTTCTGCTGCATGGAGGAGAGCACTCATTTCTGATTCATTTTCTTCATCCTCCAGTGGGGAATTTGCACCTATCCTAGTGAAGCTAGGCTGCCCGCTTTTAACCAGCCTAAGTAACAGCATTTTCTGCAGCTAAGTCTCACTGGTTTTCCTGGGAAGAGGGCAGTTGACGGGAGCAGCGCGGTGACGGGCTGCGCCTGGCTGTTTCCTGCTTGGAGGAGGCAGCTCAAGCAGGACGTGGTTTTCCCTCCAGCTGCCGTGAGCAGCGACGTTATCTCCCTGACGCGGCGTCTGCGCTCAGGAGCGCCAGGCGGGCAGAGCATCTGCACCTGAACGTCACGGTGAAATCTGATTTCCTCCCAAGTCACAGAAGTCAGAACAGTGAAAAGCGGGGAAGAAACAAGACTGTGTTCCAGGGACCACAAGTATTTACTGCAAGCACCCGATCTCTTCAGCCAAGTCTGGTTTCACTGCGAGTGTGATGCATTGCTCCGGTTATTTTTGGAAGATGCCAGGTTACATTAGCATCCTGCAAGGGCTGTTATTTAACGTGCTGCGCAGCACATTTCGCAGATGAAGCATTGGGGTCAAGCGTGTCTGCTCAGGGAACGAGTGCCTGGGGTGCTCAGACCTATCCTAATCCCACTGAAATTCCCTCAGAATTAGGAGGCTTATTGCTTTAGACGCCTTTGCAGGTACACAGGAATATTTAATATGAAAGCAAAAGGCTCGTGAATGAGAGGAAAAGAAGGTTTTGCTGCGGTCAAATTAGAACCATTAGGAAAGGGCCATGTAAAGGGGGGAAGCTCGGCCAGGCGGAGGAATGAGCCGGTCACGAGGCAGCGTCGCTTCAGCCGCAGCCGGGCACACGCGTCTGCCCGTGGCTAATGTCAGACACCAACAGGCCTTGGGAAAGCGGCCGGCGGCGACACTGAGCGGGATACGCGCTGTGGAGACGGGGACAAGCGGCATCACCAGCAGGGAAAGGACCTGCAAACATGGGGGTTCCTGGTCCTTTCCCTCTCCCAGTCCTATCCTGGGGGGAGGCCGTCAGCTCAGGTGCTACGTGGAGGCAAGGGAGGCAGAGCAAAAGTCTCGTATTGGGCCAGATCCTGCTCCAAAGGCCAGAGGGTCTGTCCACAGACAGGATTTATAGCCCTGTTCTTGCAGCTGTGCTTGGGTGCTCACCTCATAGCGCCCCATGCAGCCCCAAGGGCCCCTGGCTCCGCGTGGGCTCACACGGGCAGCTTGGCCACATGAAGCAGCTCACGGTGCTTTTCTCATCGTTAGTTGGTGCCTGTAAGTGGGAAGGTAGTTCGTTGCCTCTTAACTTTCCACGTTGTTGCAGAATTCCTGATATTCTTGTCAACAGTTTGGGGCGTTTTCAGCTGAAAAGGCATCTTTGAGAACCTGGATTTCTTTTGATTCCTGTTTAGGAATCAAATGTTGAATCTGAAGTGGGAAAAGCAAAAACATCCTCCGAAGCCTGGTTGACGTGTTAGGAGGGTTATTCCCTCACTGGTGCCAAGTGGCTCTGTTGGGTGGGAGCCAGGTAAGTGATGCAGTAACAACCAAGGCCTCTCCTCCCGGGGAGCCGGGAGGCCTCCTGGGGACACCCTGGAGGTGTTTGGGGCAGTGCCTGGGGGCAGCACAGTCGGGGGGCGGCCCCACTGCTCCCGCCTGCCTCACCCTCCTGCTGCTCTGTGTGTCCTCAAAGCAACCGCACAGCATCCTGCAGAGGCGCCTCATGGAGACCAACTTGTCCAAGCTACGGAGCAGCCGAGGCCCCTGGGCCGCCAAGAGCGATCCCGCTGGGAAGCTGCATCCGAGTGCGCCGGGCAGCGCCGGGCAGCTGCGGCAGGAGGAGCTCATCGTGGTGCGCTGCCAGGTACGGCTCCTTCCCTCCCTCGCGGCCGGGGTGCTGCGGCTCCGCAGGCCCCAGCTGCGCTCCCCATTCCCCGGTTTTCCCGCTTGGAATGCTAGCACGATGTGGTACATTAGCACAGCCGTTATTTAGCCACGGACGTCTTTAACAAAGATGTTGTTTGGTCAAATCTCTGTTCAGCGGCAGAGGAGAAAGTGGGGATGGCGCAGTGGGGGCCGCGTGCGCCGTGGGTCTGCGCGTGGCCGGGGCGCTGTGGGTCTGCACGTGGCCGGGGCACTGTGCTGCTCGCCTGGCACCCCCTGGCTCCGCTGCCGCCCGCCGTGGGCCCGGGGGCTCAGGGGCCGCTCGCGGGGCCGGGGAAGGCGCCCGGCGCAGGCTGTGACCGTGTCCCCTCCTGGCGGCCCTCGTGTGGCTTCTCGCCCGCTCGCTCCCGCAGTGTGCCGGCCAGGAGCTGGAGGCCGTGGTGGACACCGGCTCGCACTTCAACCTCGTCTCGTCTGCCTGCCTCGACCGGCTGGGGTGAGTGTCTGCTCCCACTTCCCAGGATCTCTGTCCGCGCCCCAGTTCCATCCCATGGGAGCAGGGAGGCTGGCGGCATGAGCAGTGCCCTGTGCCCAGCGTGGGCATCTTCTCCACAACCCGTTTTGCATCGTGGTGCCCTTTGGGCGCATCCCCCCCGCCTCCGCTTAGACATTCAGCAATAAATGGAGCTTTTACCTGGGAGAGGAGTTATTGCCTCCGACTGTATTGGACTTTAGTTCAATTTAAGACACAAACTAAAGCTGAATAATTCATTGGTGCTACCAAAATAGTTCATGGAAAGTAGATAGGAGCAATTACTGTACTGGAGATATCCCTTCTCCCTCCTCTGGGGATGCAGTGTGGTTTTTAAGTCGCCGCTTCCTGTGTCGATAGAGGCTGGCAGGCAAGAGCGGTGCGTGCTGCCCTGGCCGAGGCCGGGACGTGCCGGGAGGGCAGCCGGGCAGCACCAAGCAGCTCCCAATGCACAAACCGCGGATTAGCGACTTCCAGGGCTTGAGGAGGCACAGGAAAAGATTCCCAGGGCAAAGAGAAGCAGCAGGTTAAGTACAACCAAAGCTCTGCCTTGTGCGAGGTCTGCTCCTTGCACAAACCCCAGAGCTCAACCTTGGAAGCCTGTTGCAATCTGAGGTGGATTATCTGCTGCTGGCTGTGCCCGATCACACAAAAAACTCAGCGGGAAAGCAGAGATCAGCAGGGAGTAGGAGCAGGCCAGGACGCGGGGCCCCCTCGGATGCAGTTTGCTCCCCCTAGGTGGCCGTTTGGTGCGAGCCCCGTTTCCCGTGCAGGTTGTCGGAGCACGTCAAGGCCTTTGGCAGCGACGAGGAGGGGGCTGTGCTGCCGCAGGGCGTGCGGGCCGTCGGCCGCGTGGAGGGGCTGGCGCTGGCGCTGGGAGCCGTGTCCCTGGAGTGCGGCGCCCTTGTCTTGGGTAAGCGCCGCCCGCGGCGGCTCCTGCTGCCTGCGCCCCCAGGGCAGCTCAGGCCCTGTTTAAACCACCCAGGGCTCTGCAGAGCAGCCCCCTGGGAAGGAGCGCGATGCCTGCAAGGAGCACCAGGGATCGTTGCATGCACTAATCTGAACGCTTGTGTTTTACAGAGGACAGTGAGAAGCCCTTTTCCTTGGGGCTGCAGACGCTGAAGTCTCTGAAGGTGAGGAGGAGGTTCCTCCACAGGGGCATTTACCAGGGCTGCTGCAGGTCGCACTGTGCCCCTTACGTGAAGGGCTTTCTTCTTTACAGTGTATCATCAACATGGAGAAGCAGCACCTGGTCCTGGGGCAGGCCGACAGGGCAGAGATCCCGTTCGTGGAGGGCAGCGCAGCCGCGGAGGACGAGCGGTGAGTCCTTGCGGGGCAGAGCCGTGGGGCTCCGGGCTGGCGGCCCCATGCGTGGCCAGGACCAGGGGCGCTCCCAGCAAGCGGCACCTCTTCCAGCCGCCACTTTCCCTGCAGCCGCCCCCGCATAGCGGAGAGCCGAGGCGGCTGTTGGCAAGGCTGTCGCCGGGAGATTCCTCCAGGAACGCTGTGCCGGGGGCCAGGAAGAGCCCGCGAGGGCTGCAGCCCTGCGCAGAGCAGCAGCCACCCGTGCAGGAGCGTTTCTTGCTGTGGCTGCTGCACTCAAGGACACTTTTTCCTCCCCATACCCAGCTCCTGCTAAATCAAACATCTTTTTTTCTCTCTCTTTTCTCTCTATTTCAGCACTTTGGAGGCATAAGGAGGAATTGAAACGCCCCCACACGAGAGCTTGACATCAAAGACCTTCTGTGCAGCTGTTCCAGATGAAACAGCTCCCTGCTGCTTTGGAAACACACTAGGCTACAGCGCGAGTCTAGCTAAACGAAATCCTCTTCAGTAGCCGGTAACTTAGAGATATTGTCATGTATATCTATGGGGTTTGAGAAACAAACGTGTGCTTTTTTCTGGAATTTTCTATATAGTGTCCTCTTTATTATGAACACTCAGACAAACCTTATGAATTTCTTCTGACGAGAAAAACACTTTTTATAATGGCCTCCTCTGAGCAGCTGTATTTGGCTGTGATCAGCAGCTATGAGGAAGGGATTTTTATCAATGATTTTTCCAGAAGCCCAGGGTTTGTACTCCCTTCATTGGTGCCGCCGCTCTGCAGTGGCCCTTACCAGGCAGCCACTCGTAGCAACACAACAGGCCGATGCTCCCCGGGTTTGGGGTTTCGGCTCCTGCTCTTTGCCTCAGCATTGCTGCCCTATCCCGAGGGCTCTGTGTGGAGCGTCGGCCGCAGCGTTATCCAGCTCCGAGCTCTGCCTTGGCGGCGTGGGAGCAACCCCACGGCGAGTGCAGAAAGCAAGAGCTGCAGAGCGTTAGAGCCTGTCGCCAAGCGAAGCCATATTTTATATTTGGGGCGAGTTGCCCGGGATCTGCGCGTGCGGGCTGGGCCCTGCTGACGGCAGGGAGACGCGGAGGCCTTGCCCGGAGCCGGTTCCGTCCAGCCCGCGGCTCCCTGGCGCCACGCTTGGCCACCGGGCAAAGGCAGCTCTTTCCCGGGCCCGTGCCCAGGAGCAGCCGCGTTCCCTGCGGGAGCACCGAGGCCTCCCGCTCCCAGCCAGTCCGGCCCCGCCAGCCACCTCCTGCCTCGGGCATTTTCCCAGCTGGAGCCCAAGCTCCTTGCAGCGGTTTGACCCTTCTCCACTACTGGGTATTATTAGCAGACCTGGGGTATCCGTATTTTGAGCTATTTTCTATTTTTGTGATATGTTCCAGTGCTTTCTCTACATACAGTATTTTATATATCATAGCTATATACATACAGGGTTGGGCTGCCTTAGGGCATCCTATGAATTTGTTGTGGAAATATATCACTAAATATGAAATATATTGGATTATTTTATATGCTATGGGTTTGGTATTTTGGCACTTTATTCTTTCTGTGCTTGTTGTTGTGCTGAGTATCAAATTAAATAAAGTTTACTTGTTATTGCTATTTATTTGCTGGCACCCTGCATATGCCCGTGACGTGTTTGCAGTGAGCTTTAAAAGGAGTTCATTTTAACCAGGGGCGCCACTGGCCTCCGCGGGGCTTTTGTGTCTGCTGGCGCTTGGCTTTGCACCGTGGGGAGCGGCGGCTGCAGCTCGGGGCTGCGCGGGATGGGGTCGGAAGGGGCGTGGGGCTCTGCAGCAGGCAGCAGCTGGGCCGCGCGCTGCTCGTCGGTACCGTGGGGGCACCATGGGGCAGCGCTGCTCTGGACGTGCCGCCGCAGCTGCGTCCCGCTGTGCTGCCCCTGGGCGACCAGCAGCTCCTCATGAAGCATCGGAGCTTGTGCCGAAAGAAGAGCACAGTAAATAAAACAGGCACCTGTTAAATGAAGCGCTGTGGGGCACCCTCCAAAGAGGCCCTGTCTCTGCAGGAGATGGGAGCTCCCCCTCTCCCGGGCGGTCTGCGCCCCGCGGCCGTTCCCTTCCTCCACGAGCAGATCCAGTGGGGCAGAGTGTTGGCAGCCCCTTGATAACAGCCCAACACGCCACGGAGCTGCAGCACAGAGAGCTCAGGGCAGCCTCAGGGCAGGTAGGCGCCCTCTGAGACACAGCCGGCTGCGCCAGCTCTTCATGGAGCAAGAAGAAAATGTAGTTCGGGATGAATCACTGGCCAAACCTCAATGTAAGAAGCCTCCCAGGACACCTGGCTGGACCATGAAGCACAACCTAAGTGCCTTGCAGCCTCTGTTACCTCAGGATCATGAGGATTAGGGCATCAGGAAAATGATGGGGATTTTTCCAGGGGCCTTTTCAGGTGCTCAGTGGGGCAGGGAGGCAGTCGGCTCTGCGCGGTGCCCTGCCAAGCTGCTGCCTCCCTGGCTTGAAAGAGGGAATATGGAGGTTTTTAAGCTCCTTTTACTCACAGAGAGTTTCTCTACTGAAAACACTTCATTGCCTCTCAATTTAAGGCTCCAGGGACGTTTTTAGGATTGACTTTTCAGGCTAGCAGCAGAGGAAGATGGGATTTTGTTCTTCCAGAAGGAGATGGCAATGTATTTTTAAAACCAAGCTATGCATGAGGACTAATTAACTTGGCATTTCCAGCTTAGTGTTTTCCTAGATGAATCTGATCCAGCTGCAGTCACATTTTGTTGGGAGGAAGCGTCCAGGCACCTTCTCTTTCCCCCTGCTGCTTCGTGCGCTGTGGTGTTAAGGTCACAAGCCCCTTCCCAGAGTCTTGTGCCCTCTGGGTGAGCCCAGGGCCCGCGCGTGGCTCCGCTCTGAGGGCTGTGGCATCTGGCAGCGCAGCTCCCTACGGCTCAATGTGCAACGGCTGGGAAGAGCCGAGCGGGAAGGGCTCCTCCAGGGACTTGCTGCAGAGAAGCGATTTAGCCGCGGAAATGCCGCTGTTCCCGCTCGCCGCAGGAGAGCTCCGAGAAGGTGGTGCTGATGAGGGGAAGGGCGGGCACTGCACGGCCATGGATTCAGTTCCCTGCTTGGCCCTTTCCTGGGCCTTGCTCGATGCCGTATGTTGCTTGGGGGGCACGTGTCCATGGGCGCTTCACGTCCTCCAGGGCCTCATCTCAAAGGAAGGAAAGGGGGAGGCCGGGAGGCGGCTGGGGATCTCCAGTTGCTGATACAACCTCGGCCAGGCACAGAACCCTCAACCCCAAATCCTCACGTGCTGTGAAAGGCCGCGGGCCCTCGGCACCCATGGAGGTGAGACACTTGGCAGCTTCAGGAGAGAAACCCAGGCTCTTGCCAGGGCAGTACCCAGCACCAGGGGCACGGCCAGGCTGTGGGAGAGCTGCAGCCCGGCACGGCAGAGCCCACGTATACAGACTGGATCCCGACCCCTTTCGCCCAGCAAGGCTTGGCTTGCCCTGGGTTTTGCACTGCAGGTGAGATACATCAGGCAGGGAGCCCTGGTGGGCACTTCCCCCCACGCACACAGCTGCAGAGCATCCGCACAGGGGCAGGGGGGGCAGCAAACCCAAAACATGAAGGTGGAAGCAGCGCGTCTCGGGCCGCGCAGTTCGCAACGTGTCCCGCTCCTCGGCTTCTGCTAATGGCGTTTCATTAATTTCCATCCTCAGCGTGAGCATCTCCGGGCTCTCTCTGCATCTGTCTGTCTTAGAGCTGCCTTTTCTTCTTCAGCTAAGCGGCAGCCCGTGCGCACAGAGATCTGATTGTTCCTCAGCGCCTGCTTGGAGCTGTCAAAGTAAAGGATGGATGCGGTGCCATTTGCAGCCCACGTGGCTTGGTTCTTAGGGTTCAGATCAAACAAAACGGCACAGCAAATTAACCAGTAATTAAATTAAGTGAAAAGACAACAAGCAGGCTAATCCTGAGGTCACAGAAGCGCTGGGGCTGCACAAGGCGGTAGGACAGCAGCTGCTGGTCGCAGCTGCGATGCTGCAGCCCCGGCAGCAGATGCCCCCAGCCCCAGGGCAAACTCAGAGCCTAGCACGCAAGGAAGGTGCTGTGCGGCTCCGGCAGCAGTGAAAACAAATGCAGCCCCTGGAGCAGACAGGGCCAGCTCCCATTCCATCAGGAAGCAACAGTGCTCAGGGAGAGAGGGCAGCGGAAGCGGCGCAGGGGCTCCGTGCTGCCTGTTTTGCCAAACAAAACCTCGCTCTTGGGGTTTCTTTTCTTTTTCTCTTTCATTTTTTCCCTTGCAAAACATTTTTGTCAGCCGGCAAAAGCAGCGCTTCCCTGGGTTGTGGGTGGCACCCAGGAGCCGCTGCGGGATGCACTGATGCAGCTGGGAACGGGCCGGAGCCGCCTGGGAAGCGGAGCGTCACCATGGGAACGGAGCAGGCCGGCAGCCTCTGGCACAACATGGATCACGGGGCTTCCTCCTGCACAGGTTTAATGGGAGCAAAAACCCGGGCAGAGCTGGTTGCAGCAAGAAAGCGGCGTCGCTCCTCCGGGGCCTGACTCCACACAGCGCGAGACCTTGGAGGAAACGGCGGGGATAAAAATACCCGGGAGGGCCACAGGTTCATCCCAAGCCCCCTGAAATAAGGGAGCATTCGAAAGCGCTGGGAATCTTTACTTACATGATTTCATTCACTTGATTCTTACTGATTGCACCTATATTAACAGCCTGTTATTTTGGCGTGCCCAACAGTTAATGACAGAGAAAGGGTTGAGCACTGTGTGTAAATCACCACTGCGCACCAGGTAAGAACACAAAATACTGCTATAGTGTCAGTATTTGTGGTCATCTGAGATTCATGATCAATGTCATACAACTTACCTCCTTTGTGCAGAATTTTCCTCACATGAAGCACCTTTGGTGATCCCGTAGCTGGGAGGGACGAGCAACGTGAACAAAGATTTCCCAGGGAAAGAGGAGCACATCCCTGCACTCGCAGTTCTAAAATAAGCAGGGATGTATCTAGGAGAAAAAGAGCATTGTCAAAGCTACAACGCAGAGATGAGACAAGGGTATCCAAGTGGATACCCATGACCAGCTCCTGAAAGGTGCATTTTCTCATTAGCCCACAGCAGTTGACATTGTAATTAGCTGCCTCCCACACTGCAAAGGCTGTTGCAGTAACAAGTATTACCATCAATATGATTTTTAACCAAATATTGGAAGCAGACAAAAGAGAATTGGTATTTATTTTTCTTTCTGTGCAGATGCCACAGGGCTGTCCTACCAGTAATGACTGTAAAAATGCTGATTCAATTACTTATTTACATAATCCCTTTAGATTACCCTTTCATATAACTATAATGAAAAGACTGTTCTGGCTGGGAAGCAAGCAGCAGGCGGCTGCCGGGTGCGAGCAGGATAAACTGATCTCAGGAAAAGACGGGGACCTGCATTAGTGGGAAACAACGGCGGTGTGAGCGGTGCTGGCGCTGCCCGCTCCGCCTGCGCCCGTGACACCGCTGCAGCAGCACCAGTGCTTGGGGCCGCCCCATGGCCAAGGGGCAGGACGCTCATGGCCAGGGGTAGCTCAAGGCAGGACACCGGTGCCAAGGGGTGACTCAGCACAGGGCACTGGTGCCCAGGGGTGACTTGGTGCAGGATGTTGGTGTTCAAGGGTGACTCAGCATGGGACGCTGGTGCCCTGGGGTGACTCGAGGCCAGGCAAGGACTGTGCTGCGGTTTGCACAGGGTGATGCCAGCCCGACAGCCCTGCAATGGGGCCACGTGGGGCCGTTACCCCCGAGCACCTCCCTTAGCTCCCAGAGGGGTATCCGCTACGGGCTGAGCTAGCAGGGCAGGGAGCAGCGCCCGCCTCCCCACAGCTCTTGCACCAGGGAAAAGCCTTGGGGAGAGCTCTGGAAGATGAGACATGTCTTCAGCATCTCGGGAGGCTGCATAGCAGAAGGGCAGCGACAGATAGGGCTGTTACAGTCAGGACAGTCATTTTTGCCTTAAAGACAGCCTTACCTTTATATTTTTTAAGGACATGGTGACAATTGTGGTTTAATGGTGTCTTGTTTCTGACACCAGCATGCTGAAAAATAAAATTCAAAAATGGAAGTGAATAAATCTAAACATTAACATAGAAACTTCCAGTATTTTTCCTAACAATTTATCCATCAGTTTTGCTTACTAAATCACTGCATGTATTTTTTTGGGGTAAGGATGGGCTCTGCTCACCAGGGGAAATGTCTCTCCCTCCGTCCATGGCCTGTTGCTGACAGGCTCCCCTTTTCCAGGGGAGACCCTGGGCTGGAAGATGCTCCAAGACAGGGCTCAGAGGTACCAAAGGCTGTTCCAGCAGCCAGAAAAGTGGCTTTTTCGATTGCGTATTAGGAATCATCCCAGTGTTAGAAAAAAAAAAAAAAATCACATGAATCAGCCCATTGGCAACCTTTCCCGCACAGTGAGCTGCTCCTACACGGAGTGCAGTCTCTGAAACCGTGCGGCTTCGCTGGAGCCCCAGTGCATGTCCCTCAGGCGCCGCGTGTCCCTCAAGCACCGTGTGTCCTTGCAGCTCAGCGGCCAACTTGCCCATCATGACCCACGAGCGCGGGGACGCAGAGGGGCGCCCCACACCGCCCCACGCTGCCCCTGCCCATGGTGCAGTTGTGAGAAAGACCATTTGGTAGATAGAAGGTAAGTAGATAGAAAAAGGTTGGAAAGTAGATAGAAGATATGGGGAACAGCGTGGGCACCGGCTCCCAGGCAGGAGACCCACTGGTTCCAGTAGGTCCAGCAGCACTGGCCTATCCCATAGGAGCTTCCTGCCCAAAGAAGGAAAACTCAAAAACGCAGAGGACTGAGGCAGAAAATGCAGTTTCTCATGGACATTTACTGCCGCTCTGAAAGAAGTGAATGCTGTTGCTGGGTGGCAATAACTAATAAATACAAGAAAATGAGGAAACATCGCTGCACCTCAGGAACACCATTGCAGAGAAAACTTGTCTCTACCTCTATTTGTTGTCTCTAATTCTCTCTATCCATAAAATACACTAAAAACACCGATCCTGCCCGTCTATGTCCAGTTACTGAAAACCTCATGGCCAGTGAGCAGGTCTCACACAAATCGCCGCTTGGCCTCACGCGCGCTGGTACCTCCGCAGCTTTGGGCCGGCCGCGCCGCCGGCACAGTTGGCACTGGCTGCATCTGGGGGCCCCATACGGCCCCGGCCGGCCGGGCAGCCCCCGGCTCCGGCCACCTCTCCCGGCCTGGGCTTGGGATGCACCCAGGATGCTCTGGTTGGGAGCCACCAGGGATGCTCGGGTCTGGATGCATTCGGAATGCTCGGGCTTGGGACATACCGGGAATATCTGGGCTTGGATGCACTAGGGATGCCCGGGCTCGGGATGCACAGGGGATACCCGGACTCGGACGCACCGGCGATGCCCGGCCCTGCGTCGCCGCCGCTGCTGCCGGCGGGCGGAGCCGCCGCCGCCTCCGGAGCCCGGAGCCGCCCGCGGCGGCCGCGCGGGGCGCCCTGCCGGCCGGCGCCGCCTCACGTGAGGCGGGCGGAAGGCGGAAGTGATGGCGGCGGGCGCCGGGGCCCGGCGGCGCGGCGGGGATAAGCAGCGCTAAACGGGCCGAGCCGAACGGAGCGGGGCCCGACATGGCGGCCCGCGGCGGGGGCCGCCCCCGGCTCTGCTCACTGCTGCTGCTGCTGCTGGCCGCGCTGGGCGCCGAGGCCAAGGTGAGCGGCGCGGGGCCCCAACCGCCGGGCCCCTGCCCAACGCCCGCCCGGAGCGCGCCCCAACCGTCACCCCCGCTCACCCCAACGGTCGTCCGGAGCGCGACCCGACTGTCACCCCCCGCGCGCCCCAACCGTCACCCCCCGCACGCCCCAACGGCCGTCTGCACGCCCCAACCGTCACCCCCCGCGCTCCCTAACGGCCGCCAGGAGGGCGTCCCAACCGTCACCCCCCGCGCGCCCCAACCGTCACCCACGCTCACCCCAACGGCCATCAGGAGCGCGCCCCAACCGTCACCCCCCGTGCGCCCCAACGGCCGCCTGGAGCGCGCCCCAACGGCTGTCTGCACGCCCCAACCGTCACCCCCCACGCGCCCCCGTGCCCCCCCGCGCTCCAACGGTCTCCTTGCGCCCCCATTTCCTCCACCCGTTTTCCTCTTGACTGCGTGCTCGTTTTTGTGGGATTCAGGAGCCCCGGGGATTCGTCCAGCCCCGTTGCTGCTTCCCCAGGGGCCGGGGCGCGGGGGTGTCCCGGAATGCCCCAGGACGGGGCTGCGCGGCCGGCCCAGGGCCGGTGTGGGAGCGACCCGGGTTTGTCTAGTGGGAGCTGGGACCGCTGCCTTCGGCTGGTCGCGTCTTGCTGACCTCCTCACATGAGCTTGGCGAGCAGGTAGCGGTCGCCGTAGCTGCATATGTGATGCTGGTGGTTAAATATAGCAGGAATTAGAAAAAGCGAGGCTCATGGGCTTTTTTTTTTTTTTTTTTTAGACTTGTTTCTGTGCGACGCCTAAGTTTATAGCATTTTATTTAGTTTTGACAGAATGCTCTGAGATGCTGTCATGCGAAACTGCAAGTCGTTGTTGCATAGTAATTGAAAAGGCTTTGTTTGAAATAAAGCTCCTTTTCTTTGACTGATTGTGTGAAAGGAAAATTGGGATCTGCCAGGTGTCTTATTTTACTTTCAGCTTAGTGCTATTTTACTTTCAGCTTGGTGCTCTTCTTCCACTTACGTGTCCAAGTGCTTTCCTCTTTTCTCCTCTTCCATGCTTGCTCTTCTGACTGCTGTTCTCTTAACCTGGGCAGAATGTGTTTAAATTTTCTGTTGCTGACCCTTCTGTATTAATATTTTAGGCTATATTCTTATTGTCCCTGTAACTGACTGTGAGATCATAGTATCCTCTAATAGCCAAAATATTCGAAATGGCCAAATCATGTTTACACCTAGCTCATCCTTCTCAGTGATAATTAACCATTTGACTTTCCCATGACAAGAGCTTGTTATATGGTGCAATCAAAGTTTTCTGGCTGAGTTTAGCATTACTGTGACCTGACTGTTCAATATAGATGTTTATCTATCAATACTTCTAAAGGCAATCTCTTAGGCGCTTTAAATTTCAAATAAACAACTTTGCCTTTTGTGTCTTCTTGTTTTTCCTCAAATATATTGCTCAGATTTGGGTTTGAGAATGCTGTCATTTATAACTCCTTGCTTACCATCTGTATTCTTGCTGCAGGATTTTCTACTCTTCTGCAATTTGAGAAAGGAATTATCTTATTTGATTGTACACAAAGTAGTTTCTTCCTGGAATTCCTTTCTTCCCAGGAGTAGTCTCAATGTGAATTTTGGATGCTAATTCTTTCCCACTTCCTGTAATTGTGGGATGTTAACTGCTTATACAAGTCTTAGAATTGTTTCCCTAAAGCCTGCATCATTTTTCACATTTCCTCCTCCTTTACTTGGTATTCCAGTTGGTACTTCTCTGTCTGCCACATGCTATCCTGCTGTTTAAGATAAGAGGGCCCTAGGTTATTGTGGTTTGCCTGATAGTTTTGCTTACAAAGTTGTTTTGGTTGTTAAGGAACAATGGTAAATGAGTACAGATCTATCCAGAAAGACTCTTGGCAACCTCCATTTGGAGTTAATATTCTTTTGTTCTTTTAAGTCGAGTCGCTGTACCTGTGCTATATATAAATTGAATAGCTGACTATAGCAACACGAGCAACTCCTAAAAATGTAAATTGTTAAAAAGAAAAGTGAACTTCAACTCATTTTCTTTTTCCTTTGGAAGAATATATCTATCTGTATACTATCTAAAAGAGTAGTGTTACTTGAGAAATTGCTCTGCTTACTATTTTTTCTTAATATATTTGAAGGATTGTTCTTCTGTGAAGGAAATTTTAGGTAAGATTTCCTAGAGATACTTGCACGTAGTTTGTGTTAAATACTTCATGCATTTATGAAATACTTCATGCGTC